TTTTTTTTTTTTTTTTGCTATTACTCAGGAGGGAGCCCTGGCAGTATAGTGCCTAAGGCTAACCAGAAGTCTGGCTGTTCAAACCCACTAGCCACTCCTTGGAAGGAAGATTGGGCAATCTACTTCCATAGAGATACCGCCTGGGAAACCCAAGGAGGAGTCGCTGTGAGTCAGATCTCACTCGATGGCAGTGAGTTTGTTGGTTCAGTGAAATCTTTGACTATTCTTCTCCCTTAACTCTGTTTTCTCTTTAAGAATTTATGGATAGCCACATGTTTGTGGTGGTTAAGTTTGTGTGTCTACTTGGCTGGGCCTGGTTGAGTGTCTGGGCAGTGAATATAGTTATTCCCCATTGTGAGACTGGTAGTTAACTCCATGGTGGAATGTATTGGAGCAGCTGAGTAGCTGCTTTGGGTGTGTGGTCTGCTTCCCATATATAAGAAGCAGCTTTGGGAACAGTCTCTAGCTTGTGGCATGCTTGAACCCTGCATGTAGCCATGTCATTGTTCAACAGCCTGCCATGCTCTGCCAACCTTGGGATGTTCAATGGACTTGAATTAATGGCCTGCCGTGTGGTTTGGTAGCATTAGGACTGTGCCTTTTTATTTGTTGACCTTGAGCTTGTTAGCCTCAGCAGCCAATAGCTGCCTGAGTGAAGAGATGCCTCTGACTTCAGTGGGCCGGGAGGGAGCAGGAGGCAGAGCTTGAAGCCTGAGGTTGAGGGGCTTTCACCCAGGCCCTTAGAGCCTGGCACTTTGAATTCGGACTTCCTGCCTTGTGAACTGTAAGAGAATAAACTCCTGTTTGTTCGAGCCATTCCATTTGTGGTATCTTCCTGTCAGAGCGGTCCTAGGTAACCAGAACAAACTTCAATATCAGAATCGGCACAAAGCCACTCCCTGTGAGGCAGAGGTCAGATACATTCCTGATTTCCACATTCTCCAAGCTGCTGTACCACTCCATCGCTGACATTGGTCATTCACCCTCCCCTCAGCATTCTTTCCTCTTCATTGGTTTTGGCAAATTCCTGCAACATCTCACAGAAATCATGAATTGTACTTAACAGTTAAGTTGTTTATTCAGAAAGTGTAAAAATGGCAGGAGGTTGCATCCTCTAACTTCCCAAAGGGAAAAGAGGATCAACATCAGTATCAATAGCCCAAGGCTGATTCCTATGAGACAGAGGTCAAAACATGCCTACAATGTTTTTACCAGTTCTGACACCAACCCATGCACTTTTTACTTCTCAGCCCAAAGGCACTCAGCTGTCTTGCTCCATGGGCCAAGAAGCCCACCACTGTATCGTACCAGTCTCTTGGTTCTGTTGCCTCTGTTGCTACAATTTCACTGCCGCCACTTCTTGCTGTCTCTGGTATCATAGCTCTGTCTCCTGGGTTAAGGAGGTTTTTTGGAGGGATCTCAGGTCCAAAGGACCCTCTCTTCTCCCGGCTCTTCTTTCTTGATGGTAGGGAGATCTTTCTTCCCACCTTTGGGATGGCTCACTTAAAGCCTGTAGTGAGATGACAAAACTGACCAGTCACCACGTTAGACCTTATTTGTATTGTCCCACCCACGCTAGTGTGTGCCATGTACCTTATTTACATAATTAGGAAATTATCCATCCCCTTGGTGAATTACAAGGAGCTCTGGTGGCATGGTGGATAAGGCATTTGGCTGCTAACCAGAAGGTCAGTGGTTCAAACCCACCAGTCCTTCTGCAGAAGGAAAATGGGGCAATCTACTTCCTAAAAGATTTACAGCCTCGGAAATCCAGTGGGGTTTGCTATGATTTGGAATCAAATCATTAGCAGTAAGTTTGGTTTTGGTTTTGGTTTTGGTGAACTGTACACACCTCACATTTGCATAGTCCCATCCAGTTATCTCATGGTAGTCCCAAAGACTGTGGCTAGAAGGGCCATATGAAACAGTTCACTGCATTGCAGGAAATAAGGGTACGACTCAGGATGAGGATCAGGAGGCTACAATTTGGGGTCATGATCAAGGAACATGGAGGCAAAGTGCCTTCTTCAGCACAGGACAGTTCTCTTAGCTCTCTTGGCTGCACAAACAAGCAGGCCCTGCTCTCTTCCATGGATACTTCCCCTTCACCATGAAGACCTCCTTTTAGTCCCCTCAGAACAGGTTCCTCTTAGTGCTGCAGCCTGTCACCACTGGTTCTGCCACGGTGCCCCTTCCAGGTTTGTCAGTGCTCACACTACTGCAGGACCCCTGAGCCTCAGTGTTACAGCCCTTGTTCTACGTTACAGCTCTTTTAAGAGGTGCCTTGACTCTTATCTCTCTGTTTCTCTCTTGCCTGTTTTTCTGTCTGCTTCTTGCCTGAAAAACATTAGCTGCATATGCACAAATTCCTTACCCATCAGGAGGCATGGCCCTCCCTGCAGGGTCTTGAACTGATTAGTCCCCTCCCAGAAAGCCATGGATATTTCATTTGCAAGTCTATAGTCACTTCATCTGCATAGCGTGTTGACCACTCACTGCAAGGGGCATACCAATCACTGGGCAGGCTGCAGCCCAGGAGCAGACAATAGCTATCAAACCAAGTATTTACAACTTACCTAGGAAATGTGACACACAGTCTGAGTTGGAAAGCTTGGGCAAAGGTAACTCATTTTACCAGAGGTGAATATTCTCAGCCTGCACATGTTTACTACATTTTTATGTTCTGGCTTTCTCTCTGTACTACGTTTTGTGTAGTTTCTTCAGTTGTACATTGTTGTTGTTGTTACGTGCCATCAAGTCAGACTCGACTAATAGTGACCCCTCCTTGGGTTTCCGAGGCAGTATCACTACAAAAGTAGATTGTCCAACCTTCTTTCTGAGGAGTGTCTGGTGGGTTTAAACCACCAGCCTTCTGGTTAGCAGTCAACTGCCTTAGACACTATGCCACCAGTTGTTGTTGTTGTTGTTGTTTGCCGTCGAGTTGGCCCTGCCTCATAGCGACCCCTCCTTGTGTTTCCGAGGCAGTATCACTACGGAAGTAGGATTGCCCAACCTTCCTTCCGAGGAGTGGCTGGTGGGTTTGAACCACCAGCCTTCTGTTTAGTAGTCAAGTGCCTTAGGTACTATGCTACCAGAGCTCCAGAGCTCCCTGTTAATATGTATATTGGTGTGTTTATATAATGTATATGCACGTGTGTGTGTCTGTGTGTGTATAAATGTGTGATTTTTCTAGTTTATGAAAACAATTGCATTGCTACATGTTACAGAAAATTCTAATTTCATGAGTGGTGGTTTATGGAATTTTCCTTTTTCTATAAGATGTAACAACAACAACAAAGTAGGTATATAGATGCAGCAGCCAAATAGAGGAAATGAGCAGAACAGCTTTGTTCACATTTCATTCATATCATCAAGTATAAATGCTTCACTAAACAGCATCCTCTTAATTTAGGGATCACTGACCTTCAGCGATGTGGCTGTGACGTTCACCAGGGAGGAGTGGCAGCTCCTGGACCCTGCTCAGAAGGCCCTGTGCCAGGACGTGATGCTGGAGAACTACAGCAACCTGATGTCCATTGGTGAGGACAACTCTGCTGGCGTTGGCCTTCCCTTTCTCAGCTCTGAAATCTTTGGAGGGTGTGTGGGCTCTAAACTGGTATATTCTCAATTCATTCTCTGGCTCTAGATAAGTAGTTACATTCTTTCTGGTCCATGCAGAAAAACTTAATTTATGTTTAACAATCATTTCTTTTCACAAATACAACATTCTGCAGTCTTTACAAACCAAAGGCCAACTTGGTGTGTCTAAGATTCTGTGATTTCCCATGAACAGGGTATCAAGTTAGCAAACCAGATGCACCCTCCAGGTTGGAACGAGGAGAACAACCATGGCCTGTATTAGATGAACAACATAGTGGCATCTTTTCAGGTAAGGGAGTGAAAAGAGTTAATGTGGAAAGGCTGTAGAAGTCACATTGAACTGAGAGAAGGCATCACATCTATGAGGCAGAATGTCCTAGGATATATAAAATTACCTCCATGAATCCCTCTGCCCATGTGAGATCTCTTTGTCTTTCTGGGAGTTTAGAGAAATACATCTTTGTCTGTTCTAAGATTTTATCCCTGTTTATGTGATCTACATTTTGGTATTTTTGGTTCCATAATTTTCTTCTTCCTGAGATTCTCAAATTTTTCTCTTCTTTATATCCTTCTGTCTCCCACCTTCCAGGCCTGTCTCCAAAGAGAGCTTTGGATTCCTAGCTGTCCTCAGAATACAGCACCTTCATCACCTACTGTAACGTTTCCCTTACTTGCATCCAACCTCATCTTAGATGTTGGACTGCCACAGTAACCTGGTCTCTTACTGTACTATTATCTGCTTCCTTAGCCTCTCTTTTCCCCCACTCTGAGGTTCTAATAAGTTTCTGATTTCCATTTTCTCATTTGTTCTCATAACCCATTAAATTTTCCTTCATTCTAATGAGTTAATCTTCTCTTTGTTAGAAGAGACTGTCAAACTGACATTTTCCTTGAGATTGTCTAACATAGACTGGTATTTTTTTAGTATATTTTACTTGTCTTCAGAAACTTACCTGTGAGTTCCCAATATCCATAGGAAAGTAGGCTCATCTTCCCAACAAGAAAATTCCTATTAGCTGAGGTTATCTTTTCATACTGTACATCTGATAGCCTTTCTATCCTGGTAGTCACCTTGAATGTTTCCTACCTCCTGCAGGGCTCTCTTCTTTAAAGGTCTCTGCTCTGATGACTTTTTAACTAGAAAAAACACTTGAACATCTTACATTCTTATTTCTGTCATAAACTAGATCATAACTCATGTCTACTGAAATGGTAACTCTTGACTGTAAAAATCAACTGGTTTCTATGAGGTCAAGGTCAAATATATCCCAGCTTCCCCACTTATATATTATTTCTGACAGCAGCCATTCTTCCTCAGCGCTTTCTTTTTCTAAGTGTTTTTCTAAGTGTTTGGTATCATTGCAGTGGTCACAGAGAAATCACAGAATCACTGTATCTGTGATAATGACTTTTAATTTAACAGTGATGTATATAAATGAAGAAAAGCACAGGATAAGGTCCGTGAAGTGTTGCCCCTATGGAACCTCAACACCTCTAGGACATGCACTTACTCTCCTATTCACTTTTGTCCACATGAAATCTTTTAACCAGGAACTGTTGCACTAGGTCACTTAGTGGGTGGTACTATCAGCTGTTCTTCTCAGGTGGCTCCTAGCTTCTCCTGGCTGGCTCTAGGAAAGCTCTGTTTGGTCTTAGTTTTTGGTTGGTCTTATGTATTTTATGCCAAGTCTAACTCTAGATTGGCTTTACAATAGTTCTTGGTGCTAGTGGCACCCCCTCCTTTGCAGGCAGCCCCTGCTCCTGGTACTCACTTCTTCAGAGTCATCTGAAGATATGTCTGAAGATATATCTGAAGATATGTTACATGTCCTGGGTAGGGCTTGGCCTTTACATTGGGCTGCTACTCTCCAGGCTTATTTGTTTCTGCAGCTTTTCATCTCATCATAGGTGCTTTCTCCGTTGTTGCCACACTTGCAAGTGTTACAGCTCTCTTACCTGAGTCTGAGAGGGTTTCAACACAGGGCTCCCATGTCAAAAGGACGGACGGACTTACTTTTTTTTGACTGTCATCACATAGGCCGGTCCGAAGTACTGGGTGGGCTTCCCAGGCAATCTAGGGAAAGGTCAGATTGGGCAGGTCTACCCTACCAATTTAGGTAAAAGTCAGTTATTAGACAGGCTCCACACCCAATCCCAGTAAAGGTCTGATTGGCTGTTATCTCTAGCCAATTTCAGTCAGTAAAGGACAAAACAGTGACACTCCCCAACCATAAGTGCAGTCCTATTTGTGAAGCTAATTGTGTTCTTCATTTGACTGCTAAACCAGGATGTTAATGGTTTAAGCTCACTAGTCACTCCGCAGAAGGACGATGGGACAATCTGTTTCTGTAAAGATTTACCACCTTGGAAACCCAATAGGAATCACTATGAGTTGGAATCAACTCAATGACTGTGGGTTTGGTTTGGTTTGGTTTTAGGAGCTCTGGTGGCACAGTGCCTAAGGCATTTGACTGCTACGCAGAAGGTTGGCAGTTCAAACCCATCAGTCACTCCGTGGATGGAAATGTGGCAGTCTATTTCCATAAAGTTTACCACCTTAGAAACCCAGGGGGTTGCTATGAGTTGGAATTGACTTGATGGCAGTGAGTTTGGTTTGGTTTGGTCTAACTTCAAGAGTGGAAATGAGAATGAAGATCACCACAGAGATGATTCCTATAAGGTGGAGGTCAGTCATTTCTCCACTCTTCAACTTTTCATCACTTCCGACATCACCTTCTGCCCAATTGACAGTACTCTACTTCATTGGTTTATCTAACTAGAATATCGGCTCAGTAAACGTAAGGAATCTGTGTCCTTAACAACTTTATGAGGCAAGTATGAAAATTGTTTTCTCCTAGATATAACACTCTGGATTGTTCACATAGCCCACTGTGCCTGGTGAATAGTCACTGAGGATTTGTGGAGTGAATGGATCTGTCCTTCACCAGTTGGGATCTGGGGGCCTTACAACCTATGTGTATAGGTCACAGTGACTTGCTTGTATTTTACATTCTCTGCATGTTTTGCAAGGCCTTATGTAGTGCCTAAGGCGTTTAACTGCTAACTGGAAGCTTGGCAGTTCAAACCCACCCACTACTCCATGGATGGAAGACTGGGTAATCTACTTCCATAAAGATTTATCACCTCGGAAACTCAAAGGGGGTTGCTGTGAATTGGAATAGACTTGATGGAAGTGAGTTTGGTTTTGGTTTATTTAGGAGGCAGCCACACCTGTATTCATTCATTATGTATTATCTAACCCTGTTTATACACTACTTTTACCACTTGGGTTGTTTATATTATTATATTTTTATCAGTGTGTAATGAACATTAAGCTTGGTGTTACGTTCACGCTTATATCAGAGGGTTGTCACTGAAGATCCACCTTCCATCAATGCATTTTTTAAATGGCTTCATTCCAGTTGAAGATAGTGGAAGGATTCATTGTTCTCTTCTTTTCTAGAAATCTGGAAAGTTGATGGTCATCTGCTTGGACACTTGCAAAATGAACGAAGGGTGGACAGAGTGGAACAAAGCTGTGAACATAACACATTGGAGAATATTGTTCATCGGCACAAAAATTATTTTTCTTTCAGGGAAAATTGTGATAAGTTAGACTTACATGACAAAGCTGTGAAGTCAAATTTCTCTTCACTGACCATCAACCAGAATAGACTCAGTGAAATCAAGAATTCTCCTGAGCTTAGTGGGGATAAGAAAACCTTTCTCCATGCTGACCATGAGCAATTTTGTACTGAAGTGAAATTTGCTAAGAGTCAAAAATCCAACAGCTCAAAGTCTCAACTCATTAAAGATCAGAAAACTCACAAAATAGAAAAATCACATGTCTGTAGTGAGTGTGGGAAAGGCTTCAACCATAAGGGAAGTCTCGTTATCCATCAGCGAACTCACACTGGAGAGAAACCCTATGTGTGTAGTGAATGTGGGAAAGGCTTCATCAAAAAGTCAGAGCTCAATATTCATCAGCGAATTCATACTGGAGAGAAACCACATGTATGCAGTGAATGTGGAAGAGCCTTCATCCGGAAGGGACATCTCATCATCCATCAGCGAACTCATACTGGAGAGAAGCCCCATGTGTGTGTTGAATGTGGGAAAGGCTTTATCCATAGGGGAAATCTCATTAGTCATCAGCGAATTCATACTGGAGAGAAACCCTATGTTTGTGGTGACTGTGGGAAAGGCTTCAGTCAGAAGCCATGCCTCATAGCACATCAGCGATTCCACACAGGGAAGTTTCCCTTTTCATGCAGTGAATGTGGAAAATCTTATACCCAGAATTCAACTCTTATTAGACATCGGAAAATTCACACAGGTGAGAAACCCTTTCAATGCAATGAATGTTGGAAGGCCTTTGAAACAAAGCCAAAGCTCATTGTACATCAAAGATCTCATACAGGAGAAACACCATATAGCTGCAATGAGTGTGGACAGACTTTTTCCTATGCTTCTAACTTTAATGCACATAAAAGAAAACACAATAGAGAGAAACATATAGATTCAATCAAGATAGAAGAACCTTCCAGAGCGAGTCATGGCTCACCCTCACCATGTACCAGTGATCTCATGCAGAAGAACAGCTCTGTTAATACAGTGACTGTGCAGGTGCCCTCTGTGGCAGCTCAGACATCGGTAAACATTAGTGGGCTCCTAACGAATAGGAACGTGGTCTGTATGGAACCTCCCGTTGCCAGAAGTGAACCATCAGGAGATAATGGAGAATATTTTCAGCAGAGAATCCTCATGAATGCAGTGAATGTGGTGGTGCCTTCAGTGATCAATTATATCTTATTTTATGTCACATAAAACCCGTAGGATAAACTCAGATACATTCACTGGGGATGAAGGCTGAGCAAAAATATCTACCTCATTATATGGCTACAAAGTTTATCCTGAGGGAAACGATATGAATGCAGAGATGAAGAAGGCTTGATATATTCATTCTATGTAAGCATGTGTTTTGATACTGAGATATATTCTAATGTTAACATAGACGTGCACATCAGTTGTTCTGTTGTGCTAATCAGACACATGGAAGTCTGAGTTAATCTCTGTGAAGGAAACAAGTGTTGTGAAATTTTAAAATAAAAAAGGTCACCATCTATATCTGCAATGTTAATAGTAAATGAAAAACCATATAGAAGGTGGTTGGTGCGAAAGGAGCAATACAGAATTGGTGGAATATGGGAAACCTGTATATTGAATATCCCCAGATCAGTGTGAAAGACTAACCAAAAGCCAGATTGTGTGCCATACTGTGGTACCATGGATCACTTATATATGGTCTTTCTTGCCATATTTGGCCATTTTGTGACTTCCTCAAAATGACTGGGTGAGACTATGCAAATACATGTTTATGGCCCACAAAGGAGATCAGACTGCCTGCTAAGAAAGCAGATAATGTGCATGGAACCCTGTGGGGGTTTGTTATCGTCAGGTGCTGTACAGTTGGTTCCGACTCAGCAAATTTATGTTCAGCAGAACGAAATAGTGCCCAGACCTGCACCATCCTCACCATCATTGCTGTGTTTTAGCTCAGTGTTGGCAGCCAGTGTGTCAGTCCATCTTGGTGAGGATCTTCTCTTTCACCGACCCTCTGCTTTGCCAAGGACTAAGGAACTAGTCCCTCATGATGACATGTCTAATGTCCAAGGACTAAGGAACTAGTCCCTCATGATGACATGGCTAACGTCCATGAGACAGAGTCCTGCCATCCTGACTTCTAAGGAGCATTCTGGCTGTGTTTGTTCCAAGGCATATTTGTTCATTCTTCTCACAGTTGTGGTATACTTAATATTCTATATCATTATTCAAATGAATCAGTTTTTCAGTCTTTGTTGTTCAGTTTTTGCATGCACATGAGATGATTTAAAATATCCATGTCTTGGGGGAGGTACAGCTGAGTCCTCAAAGTGACATCTTTGCTTTTTAACGCTTTTAAAAAATCTTTTGCAGCAGATTTGCTCAGTGCAGTATGTCGTTTGATTGCTTGACTCTTGCTTCCATGGGCATTGCTTGTGTGTCCAAGTAAAAATAAATCCTCAACAGCTTCAATATCCTGTTCTTTTGTCATGATGTTGCTTTATTGGTCCAGTTGTGACATTTTTGTTTTCCTTAAGTTGAGGTGTATTCCGTATAGAAGGATGCAGTTTTGGACTTCGTCAGTAAGTGACTCCTCTTTGCTTTTAGCAGGCAAAGTTGTGTTACCTGCACATTGGTTGTTAGTGAATCTTCTTCCAATCATGATGCCATGTTCTTCTTCTTAAAATTCAACTTCTTGGATTATTTGTTTAGCAAACAGATTGAATAGTTATGGTGAAAGATACAACCCTGACTCACACCTTTTCTGATTTTAAACTAGGCAGTATCCCCTTGTTCTGTTTGAACAGCTGCCTCTTGGACTTTGTCCATGCTCCTCATGAGCACAATTAAGTGTTCTGGAATTCCCATTCTTTGCAGTTTTAACCATAATTTGTCATGATCTACCAAGCCAAGTGCCTTTGCATGGTCAATAAAATATAGGCAAAAATCTGTGACCCTGTGGTGGTGGGACTAGGTAAACAAGGTGTTTGGAATCCTGAGGAGAGGATTGGGCAGGGAGAAGGTACCACACTACCACTGAGAGGAGGACACAGGAGTGGAACACATCCTTTGGATCCAGGACCCCTGCACTGAAAACCTAGACCCAGGAAACAGAGCTGTGACACTGGAGAAAGCACAGGACAGTGAGAAATGGCAACAGGGAAACAGCAGGACCAGGACACTGGCATGAGACAGCACAGTGGGCTTCCAGGCCTGTGGGGCAAGGTGGTTACAGCGGACGGATCAACCCATGGAGGAGGAAAGCTGAGCGCCTCTGGGCAGGAGGCTTCCTGGTGGAGTGGAGTGCCTCCAGGCACTTAGCTGAATGAGGTTTGCCCACCTACAGTGTGAGAGACCTGCACAAAGATGAGACACGCCTCCACTTTCCAACCTTTCTATCAATTCTGATAACAACTTTCCCTCTCACAGCACTCTCTAGTTCTCAACTGGGCTGATAATTCATTGCAGTGGCCACACAGAATTAACACACAATACTTATGATTGCAGGGTTTATTGGGGTAGTAACAGGTTACAATTCAGCATCAGAAGTGACTTGGGATACAGTTCTTTAATCAGGACAGTCTCTTGTCACAGTGCTCTCAGGCATGCCTCTCTCTGGCCCTCAGCCTCTTGGCCCTGTGGCCCCTTGCTCTCTGCCCTGCTCTGTGAAGACTTACCAAGCTCCGTTAGCTTTCCTGATGAATACCCAGCAGGGTCTGCTGCTGTAGTTCCTCGGCCACTGCTCCCTATCCCTTGTTGTTCTAGCAAAGTGTTAACAGCTCTCTTTCCGTTTCCTGTGTTGAGGAGGTTCAGTGCAGGGATCTCATATCCAAATCATGGACTCCACTCCTCACTCTTCTTGTTTGTTGGTAATGAGATTGCACGTTTCCACCTCTGGGATGGTGGGTTTTAAGCCTAGAGGGATGATAACACTTACCAATCCCCATGTTAGACACAGATATGGCTAAAAGGGTCTGATTAAGTAATTCCCTGCACCACAATTATACATAACTTGATAGTTACAGGAGCTCTGGTGGCGTGGTGCCTAAGGCATCTGACTGCTAACCAGAAGGTTGGTGATTCAAACCCACCAGCCACTCCATGGAAGGAAGACTGGGCAATCTACTTCCGTGAAGATTTACCTCTTCAGAAACCTAAAGGGGGTCATGATGAACTTGTAACCATATTTATAAAATAAAGAAACTCATTGCCATCAAGTCAAATCTGACTCATAGTGACCCCTCCTTGGGTTTCCAAGGCAGTATTTCTACAGAAAAATGAAAAATCACTTCCTTAGCTGTACTAGCCTCAATTCATGTGTTGAGTAGCCATCTGGAACTAGTGCCTACCCAACTGGCCAGCACAAATAATGAGCAAGACTTTCTAGCACTTGCTGTGGCTGGGATGCATATACTGAAAGAAATCTGCATTGTTTCCATCATCCCAGAAAATTGTGTTGGAGAGTAAATAAATGCATTAATGAACTAATCAAATACTATTTTGTCATTGAAGTGAATGAGTCATTGTAAAGCAGTTTACAGAACAGAATTGTTCCTCTGGAAGTATTTCATGTGGGATCAGAGACACTCAACAATTGATTGTAAAAAGTCAGAGTAGAAGAAGAGAAGGATCCCCAGTATGTTGTTGTTGTTAAGTGCCGTCGAGTCGTTTCCGACTCATAGCAACCCCATGCACAGCAGAATGAAACACTGCCCGATCCCACGCCAGCCCCACAATCCATTCTATACTTGAGCCCATCATCGCAGCCACCGTGTCAATCCATCTCGTTGAAGGCCTCCCTCTCTTTTGTCGACCCTCCATTCTACCAAGCATGACATCCTTCTCCAGGAAATGGTCCCTTCTTACAACATGACCAAAATAGGTGAGACCAAGTCTGGCCATTCTTGCTTCCAAGGAGCATTCTGGCTGCACTTCCTCCATGACAGATCTGTTAGTTCTTTTAGCAGTCCACGGTACTTTAGGCATTCTTCGCCAGCACCACAACTCAAAAGCATCAACTCTTCTTCAGTCTTCCTTATTTTTTGTCCAGCTCTCACATGCATACAAGGCGATTGGAAATATCATGGCTTGTGTCAGGCGCACCTTAGTCCTCAAGGAGATATCCTTGCTCCTCAGCACTTGATAACAGTTTCTTCGCAGTTGACTTTCCTAATGCTACAGTATAAGTAACATAAAATGTAGGGCAAGAACTTTGGTGTCTCAGAATGGAGGAGAAGAGATGGGAGGAGGTGAAGTCCTTTTGGGTTGTCTTTGAGATGAACCCTTAGATCAACTGTTAAGAGTTGCCAATATGTCAAAGATCCTGAGCCCTGTGTAAGGTATTGATAAGAGACATATCATTTCTTATATCTTCATTGTTCCTTCTCACTTTGCTCTGAGTGGGGCTCCTGGCCTCTCTCCTCTGTCCACAGTTCTTTTCCTTAATCAACTGGATGGAAGTGGGTTTGATTTCTTTGGTAGAATCAGTGTAGAGATAGTAATGGAGGAGTAATATTAGTAAGGATTCTTCAGGAAGCCTTTTCTGAGCAGAGGTGATATGAGCAAAGGCCCAAGCATACTGAGCAGAGCCTGCCATCATTGTATTGAAAGCAGGAAACAGTCGGGACTTTTCTAAGTGTTATCTGTGAGCTTCTAGCCTTGCGACTCAAGCTTGGAAAAGAATGCCCATTGCTGGCTCACATCCCTGACCTCCCCAACTAGACCTGGATCTGGGGCCCATGAGTCTCCATTTATAACAAGTACTGTCTGCTGCAGGCTTTATTTTCAACATCTATGCCCTTAAGCTTGGATTTGCCCTCTCATCACCACCCCACACTGTAACAGGTTGAATCCGGGACAGATACCTTCAAGTAGAGTCAGAAATGGATTCTCCACCAACCACACCCTATTCTCCACTTATCCTGTGAATCTGTATGTGTGAAAATCTCTGAATCCCCACTATTCTGACATCAACTATGAGGATAATCACGAAATCAAATCCAAATCCTCATTTTTCACTGCTATTCAGTTCTGACGCCAGCCACCCATGTAGCACTTTTTTCTCTGACCCTAGCTACTCAGACCTGGATCTGATCTCACAATTAAAGGGACACCATCTTTTAGCCTAAGATATCAGATGCCAACTGCATGGTTGGGAATCCTTGGGCTCACTTTGCTTCTGGCCTGTTGTTTGGAGATTTGGGGTTTTCCCACAACCTCTTCAG